CTCTACGCTCTATTTGGCCAATTCCGCTCTTCTTTACTTGGTGTTACCTGCTATGTTAGACAGGGAGGTATTAGCGAGTTTCAAAAAATAGGAATACTTAAATAAGGATTCATATGTGGTAGCAAAATAAATATGAATTTAAGAATAGATTCTGCTTTTCCTATCTTTAGATAGATTTTCGAGATTTCAGCCTGTTCCATATAAAGTGATAAAAGAATGGTAGTTGAATCACAGTCAATTTTCCCATAAACTTTACCTTAAACTAAATAAGGTGGGCACACTTCATAGTATAGGTCTATTGGTAGTCTCGAAAGCCTATTTATAAACGAAAATAACTATCAAGCATTATGTTCTCTTAAACTGTGGTGTACCATCAAGCTTAAAAGAAAAGTAGTCGTTAAGACCAGCCACAGACGACTTTTCCCCAATCCTTAATGGGAACCAAAAATCATAAATTCGAATTTTCCTACTTATTAGTGTATATAGTAGTATATATTTAAAGTGATTGTTTTTAATTGTATATTTGCTATTTTGAATTAATTTTTCCTTTTATAAGTATCCACTAAAATTGGAGCCACATAGCAGCTTTCTGCGAGAAACATCGCCTCACAAATCGGACATATCGAATTGGCGATCCAGCTGCACTAGTGATCACAGATCCTTAATTCCCACTGGTCTGCCTACCTGTAGCTTCACTTCCGGTGGCCAAGAGATCTCCCACTTCCCGATTGACACTTCTCGCCCTCCCATCGGTCACTCTCCAGCACAACTGACTCGCATAGACCTGCCTCTTTCCACCTGCGTCGGATCTGTCTCCAGCACATCTCCGGACATGGCCAACATGGTCATTTCCCACGCAGCTTTGTGCTCTTCATCGAATATCAGCGCTCCAACCTCCAGCCACGTCCCACAGGTAGATCATTACAGGCCCGACTGTCTAATTATGCATAGGACAAAGATGGGGTCGGATGCCGCGTATGCTAGAGACCTGTTGGCTATCAACAATAATGACTCTCATTTAGATCAATTGATGTCATCAAATGGAATCTCTGCCAGCATAGCAACGTCAAATGTCAACGCTACAACCCCCAATAGCACGCCCTCATCTTCTCGATCATCGTCCTCTTCTTCCTCGGATTTCTTAACACATCTGCCCACATTTCAGGGTTTTGCCGCTCCAGGCCAGCCTCGAGACCTTTCTCCAAAACCCCTTCGACGCGAACAGTCGCCGTTCACGTGGTCCTCCAGCGTACATATGCCGCAGGGCACTGCTACTTTTCATCAAATCGACTTGCATCCAGTGCATCATGTGACTGTGAACGAGACAAATCGGGTTCCAGGCTGTCCGGACGACATTGATCTCAGCCTGGTTAGGCTCGAGCAGGAGGAAGACAAAAGCGAAGGGGAGGCTGTGCTCTCGGGATACCACCAAGTGGAGGAAGGAAAGGAGGTGGGTGAAGAGGAAGACGAAGAGGGAGAGGAGGAGGAAGAAGAGGAAGATGAGGAAGAAGAGGAAGATGAGGAAGAAGAGGAAGATGAGGATGAGGTTGACGATGATGATGAAGAGGGTGAGGATGAGTACGAAGAGGAAGAAGGCAAGGGAGAGGCGCATCGCTGTATCAGCCTTCCCGCAGATTCCTACTGTTCAAGAGGCGCTTCATACCTCGGCTTCTACGCGGATCCGACAAGTGGGACGCACCAAATGGCTTGTCTTCCTCCGGGTCTTAACCAGGTCCTCGACGGCCAAACGGGCGTGCAGGCCTTACGTGCCTTAGTCGGCCGGCTGCCGGGCGGCGCTGGCTGCTCCGGTACCGACGACTCAGCATTCCCGTCCAGCCTCAACACAAACTCGACATGGTCTCGAGGCGACGATCTGACCCGGTCGGCATCCATCGCCGTCGCCGCCGGCGGGATTCCAGGCCAGCTGAGACTGACCGAGCCTGGAGACCAGACACGAGGCCTGATGGCGGTCGAGTTCATCTGTGCCGAGGTCGTCGAAGAGGTCGGCTCTCGGGGTCGTCGCGACTCGACCTCCTCGTCTGCCTCCGACTCCCTCGTGGGGCTCACGGACGGTGCACTGCCGCTCTCGACTTCCTTCGTCTCGCCGTGCCAACCGCTCGGCGAACCCACGCCCACAATGGTCAAACTGCAAGCAAAGTTGCCGGGCTAGAGGTGCTGCTCGAGCGAATCCTCGACTCAAACAGGTAGAAAGAAGAGGCTGCGGTCTGAGACCAGCCTCACAGGCTTATGCACCGGCGGTTTCGTGACCGTTTACCCATTCATCAACAGTTAAGCTGAATTCAAGCGCCCAACTCAGCCGAACTCTCGTCAGAGCCGCCCCTCCCTTTCCGTTTATTGCAAGCGAAAGTGCCGAAACCAGTGACCACTTGGTTCGAATCCTTGAAAGCCTACTGTACCAGATGCCTGATCACTGCCAGGCGAGGGTTTTACTCCCATCTGCGCCATGAGTTTATTTTTATGTACAAATTCCAAACTTTTTGGGAACCACTCTTTGACTACTATTACGACTACTATTAATACTACTATTTATTATGTCACATGAAGAAGACTCTTAATAATTTTCTTTCTTTTCAATAAGGCATATTTTTTATGAGATCAAAGCAAAGCCAAAATAATAACATTTTGGTATTAAAAAGACTTCAGAAGTCACGAAAACTCTGATTGAAATCAGAAGCAGAATAAAATTAAAGTCATGCATGCCAAACCAAGTGAACATTTTTTATTGCCTGATTTGAACCGTCCCGTGAAGGTGGAATATTTAGAGATCCCGATATTAGAAACCAGTGACACTGAGTGAAATCGTTTAATAAAATAGGCATAATACGCATCTTGCCACCCCTCAAAATCAGACACGTATCTGGCTTATTATATATTTTTATGATACAACCTCAATGCGAAAAATCTCGATTACTCCTTTCTACCAAACTGTGCCACCATATATCGTATACCGTTTCCTTGCAGTTGAAAATATGGCTGCTTTAAATAGTATCGTGGACCTAAACGTGGTGATATATCGAAGTGGTCTGACCTTATTTTCGCAAATTGGCCG